CGTCTTTGTCGATTCTAATTGCTGCGCTTTGGTTTTGTCTTCTATGTTCTACGAAAGGAAATTGAATTCCGTGCCCGAAAACAATTTCTGTCTTTTGCGATCATCTTCGGACTTTTTGGAGTAACGGTTGGAAGTTTAGGAACAGCTTGCCAATTTCGAAAAGACTGAGATGTGGATCGGCTTAAGGTGGCAATAACCGCCCAAATGCAGGGCCGGTTTTCGGGGGTTGGAAACAGCTCGAAAACGTTGCCGCGGACAAGGGGCCTCCACAGTACAGACATCGTAAAGCGCCCGCAAGTCTTGCGGCGGCGGCGGCCGTCTCAGAAATACGGCGACCACCGCAGCTTGCAGCGTCATTGTTCGGGTGTTGACGTTGGCAAGCTCACCCGGGTTCGAACATGGAGTTTCCGAACCCCGGGTTGGAAAATAGAGTTCCCGAACCCTGGGTTCCGGAACTCTGTGTATGTTCGAACCCTGGGTTCAAACTCTTTCTCCTTTGAAGTTCAACTCCAGGTTCAACTCCAGTTCAAGAAGTTCGGAGTTGAGTTCAACTTGGAGTTCAACTTAAAGTTCGAACCCGGGGTTCGGAGAGAACTTCGATGTTCGAACCCTGGGTTCGAGGCCCCGAACTCCAAGTTCGGAGTTCCAGAACCCTGGGTTCGGAACTCTAAGTTCCGAACCCCGGGTTTAAACACCCCCCAAAACCTATGTAGAGTTGTGCTTGGGATGGTGCGATTTTGAAAGTTGGGGAGCACAGCTTTGTTCGGTGAAGTTCAAGTTTGTGGCTTGCTTTCTTGCTAGTTACAGTTGGTTCAGTCTACTGGCAGAAGCAAGTTTTCGGGGGCTGTTACTGAGTTTTTCTTTTCGTTAGCAGTGGGCTGTCGCTGCACTTGGATGCTCCGGTGCTTGCGTAAGCAGCAGACTGACACGGTGCGCTCAGCCAGATCAGAATCTATAGCTTACCTGGAGAAGAACATCTTGGACAAGTTCTCCAGACGATGGTCCGGAGCATAGTGGCAGTGGCAGTCAGACATATGTGCTGCTTGGCCGATAGCAAAACCTTGGATAAGCATCCCCATTTTGCTCACGACACGCGTCTGCGCTGCTTTTTTTCAATGCCTTGTGTCCGATTTTAATTGGAAATCGGAAGTGCCTCTTGAAGTAAGCATGCATGAAGTGTGGGACGCCTGCTGCTTTCACTGCGGGTCCAGACCTGGACGACAATCCAAGCCTGCAGAATCCACGTCTGCTGAATTCACTTTCCACTCAAAATTGCTTTTGCGTGGGTTCTCCAAGATAGCACGAAGCACTCGCTCCAGTGAAGCAGCACACTAAAACACACTAAAAGAGATCTGAGATTTGTCAAAGATCAATGTCCATGTCTACTGCTTTCACTGCAGGTTCAAACTTCCAAAATCCTTTCCTTGAAGGTCCAAGCCTCTCAACCACTATTCGCTTTGAGTCCAGCTGGATCAAGCTTGCAAAATCCACGTCTACCACTTCACTTTTGCGTGAGTGAGCCGTAGAGGCTTGGATCTGCAGTGGAAAGAGCAAGCATGGATTTTTTGGAAGTTTGAGCCCGCGGTGAAAGCAGCAGACATGGATATCGAGCTTAGAAGCAAATCCAAGACCTCGAAACCCAAACCATGAACCCTAAATCCATCCGCAGTGAAAGAAGGAATGTTTTTGGAGCTTTGGATCCTTGGCAAAAGTAGCAGCATGGATGGTAAAAGTTGGTAACAAATTTGAAAGCATCAAGCCCCAAAATCCTAACCAGGTGCTGTAGTTTGTTAGCAGTTAGCAGGCCTGAGAACGCTTGCTTGCACACACCCAGCGTTGGAGAACGCACACGCCAAGGGCCAAGGGCAGCTGGCGCCGCAAGCGCGCGCTATTCCACAACGGCTTGCCGGAGATTGAGGCCTGCTGGATATCGAAACTGGAGCTGTTTTTGGAAGCGAGAGCTTGGTCGGCAAGCTGTTCGGAAAGTCGGCAAGCTAATCGGAAACAAGTTCGACAAGCTGTTCGGAACTAATTTGGCAAGCTGTTGAGCTGTTGCGAAGTGTTGGCCGCGAAAGACAGCTTTGGAACCTGTTTTGCAAACACTTTGAGCTCCTAAGATCGCTTGAGCTGCAGCCTCTCGGCCCAAGAATCGACAGTGCTTCGAAGTATCGAATTCTGACCTATGTCTCGGAACCAGCCTCGCAGCTAACGAGTGGAGAGCTGGAACACTCTTCCCAGAGAGAGCAGAAAGTGCGTTGAGACAACTGAGACGACGAAACAAGCGGTTGTCTCGTTGTCTCCTTGTCTCTCTCGTCTTTCTGCCTCTTCGGCCACCAGCACCGCCGTTGTCTTATTGTCTCCTTGTCTCTCTCGTCTTTCTGCCTCTCCGGCCACCAGCACCGCCGTTGTCTCCTTGTCTTTCTCGTCTTTCTGCTTCTCCTACCACCAGCATCGCCGTTGTCTCATTGTCTCCTTGTCTTTCTCGTCTTTCTGCTTCTCCTACCACCAGCACCGCCGTTGTCTCATTGTCCCCTTGTTTATCTCGTAATGACATGTCACGCTGCATTGCTTTGGCAAGTACAAGAGTTCAAAGCCTAACGAGAAAAACCGCGCGTGCAGCAACACAAAAAGCTTCTGCCTTCTTGGACGTGTTGTCTGGCTGATACGAGCTCTGAGAAAAGTGGGCACCCGCACCGCAGCCTGTGTCCAGAAAGGTGCTGCTGGACATGTGCAGGCACATTGCATGGCTTCGGTTCCGCGCTCGAAGAGCTGCTTGTCAGAAAGCAGGTGTGCCCGAAATTCATTTGGTGCAGGCGGCAATGACCCATGCCAGTCCATGGCATTGTACAGCGCAGTCTTGGCAGATCGGAAATTGAAGTGTTTCCCCGAACTGTAATCCCAGGTTTGGGAACTCCATGTTAGAGCCCTCGGTTCGGACTAGGAAAGCCAACGCAACCAGTTGCATTGTTGTTTCCTATAGAACCGTGACGCAACCGGTTGTGTTATTGCTTATAGAAACATTTACATTCAGCTGCGCAGTTGCATCTGTCTCCTGCCCGGTCTAGGCAAAACATAGTATGACATAGCACAACCCGTTGCGTTGCAGTTTTTGTGATAAAAAACCATATGCAACCGGTTGCATCACGCCTTTTCCTATGGAAGCATGTACTTTAGCTGCACAGTTGCACCTGTCTGGTGAGTTTACTGTTTGGTCTGGGATAAACCATAACCCATCCGTTGCCCTGCATTGTGGTCTTTCATTCAGAAACACGTGCCGCACAACATCGGCACGAAACAAGACTCTGTCCATAGTGCACAGCTGGCTTTTTTGGTCCAGCCCACAACAGCCTGCACGAAACAACAAGATTTTGTTCAGATTGCTCAGCTGGCCTCCTCCACTGTGGTCACGTCACGAACACCCTCGCGGTCATGATCAGGACTTTGCCTGAGCCGGCACATTAGCCCGTTTGTCCTGCTGTCATGTGCAGGTTGGCTGCCCTCAAGGCAAGTCCGATGCCACACACCCGGCCAATGGTGTCCAGAGAACGATGAGTCGATGGGCAGCTATGATTCACACGCGCTGGCGGTTGGCTCCATCAAGACACAGACACACACACAGTAAGCTTCACTAAACCCAATCTCAATGTTCAAATCACATCACAAAGGAGGTACAACAAAAAGACAAACAAAGACAAACAAGACATTAAGATGAATAAAAACAGATAATCGCAATCATGATTTCACACCACCCATCATCTATGACCCTCAGAGGATCCAAATCGCGAGGAAGTAAGTCTGCAATTGACTGCGAGGAAAAAACAGTAGCCCCATCCCACCTTTTCGTCTTTCTTTTGCAGGTCCAAATCTTGTCACGTGTCCAAGGTTCAACACCGAAACGATGACGGTTTACAAAATGACAATGATGCAACTCTCGCACCGCTTCCCCGTTCATGTCGAAAAGTTTCGCGTGCGGGTTCATGTGAGAGGGCAAAATTTTGCGTGCACTTTGTTGAGTTTGTCAATGACTAGATGTTTTTTGCAGCCTTTTTGACGGGGAGATGATAGCTGCAGTAGACACCTGCAGTCATGGTAACCACTCATGAGGACACTCAAGCGGTCGGAGTTGTGATCTGCGGCCGCCCTGACATCATCAAAAGCCAGCCCATTCCGCAGGATGATTACGATTATTTGTACAAGGTCGTGTTGGTCACTGTCCAAGCTTGGAGTTCATGCCTTTGATTGTAATGATATCGTGCTCAGGTGGGTGATGCAACCGTCGGAAAAACACATTTGCTGCGATGTCCTCAGGTGCCAGCGATGTTGCAATCTCGCACAAAGCTTGCTCGAATGCATAGGTCGCGATACATCAAAGGATCCTTGCCGAAAAACCCGACGGCAACGTACGATACTGAGCTGGGAAACCTTTTGCGACACGCAAGCAGCCCCGGTTGTCAGGATCGGTGTTGAATTCGCAACCCGAACGGTGCCACTTGCCGCCGATGGCTTAGTTCGTTGATATTTCGGAACTTAGCGGCGATGCAAAGGCTATTGCACATCAACAGGTGGGCGGTACTGTCAAAGCACAGATCTGGGACACCGCCGGACAAGAAAGGCGGGCACTTTGTTGCTGGATTGATGGCGTCTTCTCTAAACTACTCATGGAGAAAGTACGGCTTTGCATGTGACATCTCAGGTACCGGGCAATCACTAGCGCTCACTACCGGCGAGCTGTGCGCCAGCTACTGTTTATAGCGGGTGGGAAATTCAGATGAGCATTCAAATCTGCTGGGTCCTGGAAGGTTGGCGCTTTGCTGGTCTACGATATAACCAGGGAAGGGACCTTCAAGAGCTGCACAAAATGGATGGAGGCGAGACCTGTTTCGACAGTGCCAATGCAGTTCCAGTCCAGACACGCCAGAGCCTGCAGGAGCTGCGACAAAGCGCAGAACCCGACATCGTCATTATGCTTGTGGGCAACAAGGTCTGCAGCAGATTGTTGCGAATGTGATCGTAAGTGAGTTTCACATCGCATCCGCAGGTTGACCTGGTAGAAAAGGACCCCTCGCTTCGGCAGGCCAGGCACTGTTGCCGTGGTGTTGAGATGCAGAAATGCAGTCTGTGTCACGGCATCTGCATGTCGATCTAAGAGTTGCACGCGACACATGTTATCTGTTGCAGCAGGTCTATTATGATGCGGCACAAGAGTTCGCGAAACTTCACGGCCTGATCTTTGCAGAGGTGACGGGCTGCAGATATTGTTTCAGTCGGGTTTGAATTCTCCCGCAAGTCCCTTAGCAAGCATCGCATGAGTGAGGCCAGCGCCGTGACCGCCCACAACGTAAAGTATGTGTTCGAGCATCTCTTGCAGGCCTCGTATCCTTGTAGCAAACGGCCAGTATACTGCTTTTTTCTGGTGCACAGGAGATCTATGAACAGACCTCCAAGAGAAGAGAGCATCAAAACATGAACCAGAATATGGTTGGAGTCGGAGGCGGCATACAGGCCTCGGCCTTTTGCAAGTTCTCGCAGTCGTTTTGTTTCTTGCTTCCTTTGTGCCAGGTTGCTGCCATCGGGCCAAAGACCGACAGCACGCGACTCAAGCAAAGCTCCAGCTGGCGAAGAATGAAGCAAAGCCCATCCATCTTAAGCTCGTTTACTAAGGTTGTGACAATTCTTGCTAACCTCACCGGCGGGATGTTCCGCCCAAGCAGCGGTGCTCCATGAGACATGTCGGCACCGTTCTGCAAAGGGCTCATGCCCGCGGCATCAATTGTGCAGTACAATGTGGCAGCAGTGCCTGAAGCATATCGGCTTGACTTGCATGCTTACTGGTCGGGAAGAGGCAATTAGGCAGATCTTGCTGCAGAAATTGTGGCAGGATATTTGCTCAAATGCATGTGGCAAAGACCACCGGAGTCAGTACTTGCTTGTGGCCAATGCTTCCGCGAGTAGTTTATGACGGCTCGCTGCCAGTGTCCTCGGCTCGCTCAAAACTTCCCTGCGCCTCTTGGGTCGTACGTCAAGCTCAAGTGTGAACTGTCGTAGCGTGTTCACGAATCAAGGGTATCTCGCATGTGTGCAGTGTAGCAGCATGATTCGCCGGACGTCGACATTGTGTTCCTGGCTTGTGTTGGCCTGTGCTGCGGTGGATCATCGCTCCACTTGCATTTAGCATGGTCAGCAGCATCAGCTGTGGCTCAAGTGTCCGTGGCACTCCATGCCAAGATGGTCCTCACCTCGGTGTTACAGCGGTGAAGTGTGCAGCTACGGCTCTTCTGCAAGGCTAAGAACGAGCCGGTCCAGGCTTGTTTGAGTGAGAAGGACAACAGGGTGTCCTTTGAGGGAACCTACGGCTTGCAGAGCCTGATCAGGGCCGCATCAAGAACTTCAACATTTTGTGGAATGCCCGGCAGAATGAGGTCATCGGAACTGAGGACGAATCTCATAGGTGCGTACGGCGTAAGGTGTCACTTGGACGTACGTTGCTGTTCATGTGGGCTCTTACGGGATCCACCGATCAAGTGTGTATGCTTTGGCGAAAGCGATTTCACCTTGTCCAGGACAAGCTGAGATGGGCCATGCTGGACAAGCAGATGGAGTTTCGGAGGTCCCAAGGAGAAATCAGGACGCGTCCGAGTGCGCACGGGATCTGGAGACATGGATCATCCGAATGGAATGTAAAGTGCGTTGTGTAGAGGACAGTGAAACTTCCCAGAGCACGTGCCCCAGAATGCGGAACATCTCATCGGTGCGGTTCGAGTTGCGAACCAGGCCCACACAAACATCGGGCCTTTTCCCGGCTGCAAGAGGCGCAGCTGTTGCAAGTGCTTATGATTGTATACAGGCATGATTTCGTTCTCTGTCTTTACCTCTCTCCATCTCCCTCTCCCTCTCCCTCTCCCTCTCCTCTCCCTCTCCCTCTCTCTCTCTCTCGCTTCTGCTCTGTCACGGTGCACATGCTTGCCTAAACGTTCAAGTGCATCGACGACATATGGAGAGTGTGCAGTTCAGCTGCTGTTGTCGGAACAGGAATGCCCAGTTGTCACCTCGAAAGGTGCGCTGCTCTGGCTGAGAACAAGTCTTTGCTAGTGGTATGCAATTGCTCCATCCCACGCAGAGCGCCGCCGTGTGCTTCTTGGAGCAGCGTTTATTAAGGCCCGGCTGCGGGTGTCAGACGGGACTCAGATCGAGTAGCAGACCCCACTCTGTGCCGTCACAGGGCAGACAGCGACAGCAAACTCCTGACCATGCGCGACAGTCTTTATGACGGTGTCAGCGGCACTGCGAGCATCTCAGGGTCAGCCCAGAAGAGATCCCTTCAGAACTCCGCTTGACCTCAGGGCGATGGCCGCCACAAGTACCTGAAATTGAGGGCTAAGACGAGCATCCAGTCACGGTGCTTCCAGATTTGCAAGACTGCAGACAGTCTGCTCGCCTTCAATTGCTGCTCTCGCTGTCAGACCGTGAGGTACGGAGATGATCCTGCAACAACGTCGCAGGAGTACGGGTGGAGTCGCCCGACAGGCCGGTGGCGACAACTTCAATAACTTCAGCTTGTGGCCCCGGCCACATGCACATGTCTTCATGCAGCAGGTGAATACCGAGCATCGCCGCTGGAAGCCAAGATGCATCTCGTGGGGTGTGTAACAGCACTGCTACGCGGGAAATGCCGCTGCCACAAGCTACGCCGTTGCCACGAATGACATGAAGGTATTGTCACAAGCCCGGTGTGGCGGAAGCCTTCAATCGGCCGTGCGGGGCGATCACGTGCAAGCGCTCGGATGCGTTTCTGGCACGGCGCTTGCCCGTGGTAGAAGTCCTGTCCCAGGTACAAGGACTTGCCTCTCCAGTCGAAGCCTTGAGGCAGGTTCCCGCTTGGCCGCACTTCAGAGTGGAACCTCAGCCACGTGACCATGAGGACCCGGGCAGCGCAAAGTGTCACTGTGGCAATTGCTCAGCAAGCTCTCAGCAGACTTCGCGAAGCGAAGTTTCTGCACTGACGTCCTGCAAGTTTGCAGAAGCGCCAAAGAACACAAAAAGGTGAGAAGAGTCGCAGTGAGGAATCGTGTTCACGCAGATGTGTGCATCTTCTTCCATTGTTGTTGTTTCCAACTCAAGACAGCCTCTTCAACCGTCACGTGCCTGAGTACCACGTGCCACTTCGACTGCAGTTAACTGGTTCGTGTCCATTGCCCGTGAGTTCTGGTTCCAATCGTCTGGGCCTCTGCTATGCTTGGCTGTGTCCGCAGAGTCTCGAGGCCAGGGAAAGCATGAGAGCGAACCGCTCTGGGTCGAGATCTCGGTCGGTCCCGGCGGCAAGCACTATAGTTGGCGTGCAGAGAGTGCGGAGCGATCGAAATAATTTGATACTGCCCAGGGCGCCCCAACAGTCTCGAAAGAATGGCGTAGGCTTGATGAACGCCGGGTCCTCGTATCCGAGTCTGTTTTCAACCCAGGCTCAGTTCTTAGCCGGTGACTGCCCACAAGGCCATTCAACGACAGAAGAGCAGGTCACCTGGTCCTTCCCACCGCCCACAAGATACTTTGTATTTGCTTTGACCTGGTTTTGCTGCTTTGGAGCTAGCACACTATCGCTGCCAGGCCCCAGACGGCACCGCGGCAGAGGCAGCTCCATTTACACACAGCCTCTACTTGTTGGCACAACTTGGTTGTCGAGATTTGACAGAGACATGCCGTCATGCAACAGATCTTGAGAGCAACTGGAGGGTCCACGCATGCGTGAGGAGCATTGAAACCAACCAACACGTTCCGACCCTAAGTACAGGACACACTCTGGAGCACGCATGTCGTTGCGGACTACGTGCACCTGTTTGTGTGAAGTTGAGGGTTGGAGTGTGCATCTACCTGATTGTAAAACTCATTGACTTGATCAGGCAACACGCTAGTCAAAAGCACGCGTGTTACAAGTGCGTTCACACGACTGAGCGCAGTCTGGCGGGCGTCCATGTGGTTCCCACCGCTGCATGCAGTGTCGAGAGACATAACGGCATTTCGTCCTACTTATCCGATCCGTTCAACATGAATCACGAGTTTGCGCGATGCACAGCAAGTTGCCTCCATCTCATTGGTTTCTGTTTCCGTATAAGATGAGACCCTGAGCATCTATCTTGGGTACCGTCTCATGGGCCCACGGGACACAGTTTGTGCGAGGGCACAGAGCTCAGCACTGGATGATTGAAACCTCCGGTCGGTGGGGCAGCAAGAGTCGCCAGGGGGTCTCCTGCCAGCGATCCCGATTCTACATTGGCTCGCTCCTAAGCATCGCTCAAGCCACGTTGATAAAAAAAAAAGGAATCGAGAGACCAAAGCTGGCACAGGCCGCTCCAACCCCAGCGCCTGAACCAGGCTGGGACGCGCTTTCGTCTTCTTTCCAAGCGTGGGTTGTTTTGGGTAGCAGAGGCTCTACGCCCTTGCAGCGGGCGTCGCGGCCTTGTACATACAATGTTTTCTATGCGTGCACCTAGAGACATTACATGAACTGCCATGGCTTGCTACCGCAGGCCCACTGCGGACCTTGGAGCATCGCCAGGGCCCTCACCCACACAGCTGGATCCCAAGGGCTGAAGAACTGGCTTCATGTTGTGGTTCCCGATCGCGTCACGAGCGGTCGACGATGATTTAGGGCCTTGCGGCATGGGCCGGCCCCCCATTGGCCCGGCCGCCCGCTTGTTGCTGTCGCTGGGGATGCGAGCCTTCATTAGCTTCTCGCAAGCCCGCATGGGGCATCAGCATTAGCGTCGGCGCGTCTCGCCTAGAGGATCCCGTGCAGCAGGTGGTAATGTGTTAGACATTGAAAGTACACTGTTAAAAGTTGACATGACGATAATATGACCAGAAAGGAGCGCAAAGACTTCACGCTTGTAAATGTCGGGCGGGAGGTGGTGAGTCCAGCAAGGGCGGTAGTTGAGGGGCTGGGGAGTCAAGATCTGTCCAGCAAGGGCGGCAGGGGTGAGAGTCCAACAAAAAACGACAGGAACAATGGAAAGCCGTGAAAGAACAAAAAACGAGACGGTGCAGTTGGGAAAACGAGGAAGGTAAGGAGCGGGCCGGGGGAGTGGTGGCAGATAGGGGAGCCCAAAGCAAGAATTCACCAACGGGTCTCCGCACAGATCAAAAGAGCGATCAGGTCGGTCATGAGTGCAGCAGCAGCTTCGGGCAACCAGAGGCTTTGCACTGAGGGGACCGCTTTTTGGTCTTCAATGCATAAGCAGCAAGCATGCAGAGGGGCAGCCTCTCTTCCGGAGATTAGGCCTTCGGGCTTCGAGGGGTTTACAGAGAGTTTGGGGTGTGGTCTAAGTGTTTGGGGTTTTGGTCTTTAGGATCTGGGGTTTGGGCCTCGAGATGAGGGTTTGGGGGGCTTGCGGTTGTCGCCTTCTGGGGTTTGGGGACTTGGATTAAGGGTTTGGGGCTTGAGCTTTAGGGTCGACGAGTTTGGGGTTTGTGGTTTGGGGTCTGCTCTTTGGGTTGTTTTGGGTGTGGGGTTTGTTCGGATCTGAGGCATCGGGTTTACGGTTTGGGGCTTGTGGTCAGGGCTTAGGGTCCACGCTTTAGGACTTCAGGGTTTAGAATTTGGGCTGTGGGTTGGGGATTTAAACACGTCAGGGTTGACGAGGGTTTAGAGGGCTGTGGGGTATTGGGGTTTCGGGTCTGGGGCTTTCAGTTTATGGGGTTTAGGATCTGGGTTTGGGCCTAGGGATTCGGGTTTGGGTCGGGGCTTTGAGGGTTTGGGCTTCGGGCTTTAGGGTTTACGGTTTGGTGAGGGTTTGGTGAGGGTTTGTGAGGTTTGTGGATTTGAGCCGACAAAACAGAATTCGGCGAATGCTTCAAGTAAGCAACAACAGGAACGCAGGGCTTGCGGCCCGCGTGCTGATGCTGGACATGTGCATGAGTGCCTGCCGCAGGGAATCTGGAACTGGTTCGGGCCTGCTGAAGGTCCGCGCCCCAAGTAGCTGTACTGATGTTTTTGCGATTGTGTAAAGAGGGCTTCTGAAACCTGCCTGAGTGTGGCGAGTGCACGAATCTTGCATCAGGCCACGCAAGAGGTGCATTGCATGAGCTCTTCACGCGGTATGAGACGCTTCTATGAGACTCAAGACAACAATCAAGCAGCACACAACAAGCCCTTTGCGGCGGAGCTTCATGTGAATGAGTGTCAAGACTCAAGATCTGCATATTCTCGGATGATGGTACCTCTATTAGAGGCAATCCCTGTTCGGGATGCCTTTGGGCGACTGATCTCCGCCTCTTCGATCTGCAGGGCTGGGAGACTCTGAAAGCTGAAAAGTTAAGAAGCCAAGCAACCTGAAGTTGCCGAATGCTGGGAAGCCGATGACAGGAACACGTGAAAAACCAACGGATAGTCAACCGCAAGCGTTGGCAACGATCCGTCCGAGATTGCCAAGGCTGACTTCAGTCAAGAAGTGGTTTGGGGTCGTAGCACTCGCAAAGGAACAAGCTGACGAAGACCCACTATACTCGAGAGGCTTCACAGCTCTGGAAATGGAGCATGTGTTGAGAATGCTGAAAGTCACCTCTAGAAAGCCCAGAGCTCTTTAAAAAAAGTGGCTTCTCCAGTATGAATCCTTTTGGCAGGGCGCTGTGGTGTATTTTGATTGAGGCGCGATCTGTCCTGGTTTCGGCAAAGGAACCGGCAGGCCTCGGCGACATTCGGTCTGCGGTTGTGGCTTCGGTCCATAAGTCGATGGAGGTATGCAGGGACTTGCAAGACGAGCGTTTGGCACCCAGTTTTGCAATGAGCATTCTGAAGTTCCTGAAGCAGCTGTGAGGCATGATGCTTACTCTACATGGCATTGTAGGATCTTGGGGCCGTACGTCAACAGAAGCAGAGCTGCTTGGAAAGGCTTGCACGGTCAAAGACAAGCACATCAATAGACGAGTTCAGAGCTTGGCGTGCAATGCTTGATGATGAAGTTGCAGCTGTACAGCTGCAAATTGCTGGCCAACAGCTGCACGTTATGTTTCTTCCAGTCTTCCATGCAAGCACCAAGCCAGTCAGTTTTCATGTGCGCGACCGCACGTGGATCCATGTGCTCATGTTGCGATAAACATACCTTCTCACATCCTGCGAAAACTTGTTACATGTCGCAGTTTTAGTTGAGTGTTAGTGGGTTTTGCAAGATTCAATAGTCATTCTCTCGAAGACTGTCATGGCATTTTGCGAGTGTGTCTGACCGTACCCGTTTATCGTCTCAGCGTCACCACAAAGGTCTGGCACACCCTCTGAGCCTGCAAGGCCGGCGGCTCAGTTTTCGAGCTGGCTTGCTAAGGAGGACAAGCAGCCTCTCGTGGGCTATGTAGCCCACCAGCTTCGCCTGTCACCCTTTCGTGCGCTCTGTTTGCAAGGAGTGACTGCCGGGGCTCGTGCTTTCTTGCTGCACGGATGAACTCCTGTCCTGCTTTGACTGCCAGCCTGGCATGCTCACCTCGAGCCAGCGCCGTTGCTGTGTCCTAGGCAAAAACTTGTGAGAACGTTGAGTTGACGCTCTCAACCCTCCTCCAAACTGCTGTCGACCGTCCTTGACACAGTTTTTTGCATTCCCAACCGATTCCCGAACAGTATTCTTGGATGTCAGTCTGTACATTACTTGGCTGGTTCGTGCAGTCAGGTCGACTGCTGGTGCTGCGAAGCCAGCCCTAAGCAGAGTCTGTGACTTAGTGCTCTATGTTTCTGCATGATGTGACGTTGTGAAGTGTGGTGAGGCAGGTGTGTGTACGGTGCATGACATATCTGAGGCTCGTTCCATGCCAGCTCCGGAAGAGCAAGGCAGGGGCGATTTCTCTGAGACATGTCTGCAAGTACTCGTGGCAATGCTTCAGCTGCGAGGAAGAAGCTCGTCCGATGAAGTTCTTGCAAGCAGCGATCTCTGACTGTGCGATTCGAAATCCATTGTGTGTCGAACTCGTGTTTGCAGTTTTTTGTTACAAGACTCTTCACTTGCCAGGTCCACCAGACTCGACAAGCGATCCACCGGCGGCACCGAGGCTGTCGGGATTCGTGGCGGAACTTGTTCTGGCGACCGGTTTTTGGAGGCGCCGCTCCCCAGTCGTCACAGAAGTCGCCGAAGTCGAGGAGGTGTCGGATGTGTCGGAGGCTCAGCTCTTGCTCCGAGATGCTCCGAGCCGAGCGCCGAGCTGAAGGATTCGGGGCTAAGAGGTAAGATTGGGATACATCGTCCTGCTTCGGGCTGCCTTAACAGCACAGGCCAGCAGCTGCATCGCCTGACACAAAGTCAAGCAAGCAAGCGACCTACAGATGCTCTCCTTCGAAGTGCGGCTTGGAAAAAATGTTTCGGTTCCTGAATTGTGCCGAGGTTGCCCCCCCAGCAACTGCGCAGGTGGCAAGTGCTCTCTTCGCCCCTTTCTTGACGCCGGTCTGCCTCAGTGAAAGCGCAGGCGCACAGCGCTCATGGCGGTGGACCTGGAAGAAGGGCAGCACTCTGTGCACTCGCAGATTCGCAACCTCTTCGGGCTGGAAGCCCGGATGCTGTCAGTCCGCTCGTTGCAGAGTTCAACTGGCCATCTGAAGGAATGGTGAGCGGGTCGATCCCAAGACATGGGTGGCTTTTGCTGAGAAGCTGCAGTCTGATACCTAGTGGGGGCAGAGATGGAGGTGTGGCTCAGTGCGCCATGCTCCCTTTCAAGAGGCATTCTGGGCAATCTCAGCCAATGGCACGGGACCAAGCTGAACACACAGGTTTTTGACCGTCCGGGGCTATCTCCACAGTGCAGCCTTCACAAGGCTGGCCATTTGGATGCAGAGGACCATGAAAGAAAGAAGGCGCAGAAGGCGGGCAGAGCCGAGTGCACGGTCTGGCTGTCGTTGTCAGTAGGGTGAGCTGCGCAGCTTTGAGGCTGCCGACGACGAGCACATCCACTTTCTCAGTGACTCGCGAATTCTCCAGGGTGGTGAGCCCAGTTTGCTTGCGGTGTCAACGCGTGAACCTGAAAGCTCTGCTCCAGTACTTCGTGACCAACCGGCCACACCCTCTACTGCGAGGATCAGAGATGCACGGAAGCTCGGAGCTTGCAAAATCTGAGTAGTGTAACAGTTGCAGTGAAAGCTCAAGTTTGGTGGGAGGCCAACGCAGCGCAGAGCGATGTCAGCTGCTTTCACCGATCGTGGCGTGCTTCAGATGCACAGCCTGAGACTCAAGTCCTGGAGCAAACTGCTGCAAGCCCAAGACAGGTCCGTCTGCGTGAAGGCTGGCACTCTGAATATGTTCTCTTGCTTACGGTGTGCTGTAGTTATGGCAACTCGGCAAGTGGGCAGGCCAAGCCGCCCAAGCCATCTTTAACTACCAGAGTCGCAGCTACGAGGACTTGGGGCAGGGCACTGGACATGTGCAAAAACATGCGAACGCTGGTGCTGCTAGTGGAGGGCACGGCTGTTCTCCTCCAGGACGGGTGGGGCGTATCAACCTACCAGCCTCTGGAGCAGCATCCAGCAGGCTCTCCTGTCGCAGACTGTCCTGGGTCAGCAATCAGTCTGCGTGCTCAGATGCCGGAGGTCAGCCGACGCACGCCTGCACTCACAACGTCGTGGCGGACGGCATCATTGCAATGTCTGACAAGCTAGACAACGCTAGGTCAACATTCAAGATTTTGCAACATGGCCTGCATCAGAAGAGGACCCACTCGCTGCTAGTGGCGAGCTTGGCGCGTACGTTGCGAATACTTGGTTCTTAGTTCTCCACTTCCGAGGTAACCATTGCTACGGGCAGGCGGATAGCCCTGGTGTCAGAAAGGCTGGATATCCGAAGCACCGGCGATCGTGACATGGTGCTCGTAGCAGTTGCAGGCATTTGAGTATGCTCAAGGTGCCCGTGCGACTGAAGCTGTATCCACTGTATTTGCACGCGTTGCGGTAAGGCCATACACACCTGGTGCAGGCTGCGCTCACGAACACGAGATACTCTTCCAGCAGAGTATGAAGCGCAAGGCCGTGGCAATCCGCTTGCAGTCCCTGCCAGTCCCTGCGACATCTCACTCCCGCTCTCGGAAGGGCAGGGTGAGCAAAGAAACCTTGGAGCAGTGGAAAGCTGCGAAGAGGACCGGGCGAGCAGCCGAGGCCATGAGAGAGCTGAATTTCGCTTCGCCTCAGCCACCAGGCACAGCGATTTTGCTTGACATGCCAGGGTGGTATCAGAAAGTCGCCAGAGGCGTTGTGCTTCTTCCGCGTGGTTGAGGGATGAGCTCGGTGCTGGCAGGGTGGAAACCCTACTCTGCTTCGCTCCGGTGCGTCATATGTGCTTAATCCCCGAGTCCGCAGCTTGGGACATCTTGTTGATCATCTATCTGCTTGTTTGGTGTATGCGCTTTATGTGTGCGGGCTGATTGGCAGTTTGCTCAGGATGAGGATCCTCCGCATCCACACGATCGGTTATTCAAGGAGAGGAAGGCTCGACTGATGGAAGTCGAAAAATTAAATGTTTACGAGCTTGGTTGTCCTTGCAGGCAAGAGGTGAGTTCCGGTATGGCTATTCCTCAGAATGCCATCGGCAAGCCATCAACTGGAATCAAGATCTCTACAGGTTGGACGCTTCAGCTGCTTATTGTGCCAGCCAGTTCTTGGGAAACTTTAATGCACTCAGACTTGCTCGACAGCTCACAGGTTCGAAGTACTGTCCTACGGCGGTGAAGGTTGCCGTGCGTTGCACCGTGCAACGCAAGCTCCTCAAAGTGCCGTTGCAGGGATACTACGTTACGAATACTACAGGGTAGTACTGATACATTACAATCTGAACTGATGCAGACTTCTTGCAGGTCATGCCCGCACAAGCCAAGCAGTGTCTCGGCTGCATCAGGGTTGTCGGCGAGACAAGTTGTGCAGGTCTAGGCTGGTGCGGTAACCGGCGTCCCTGGTGCCTGGTTTGTCAGCCGCTGTGTCGCGTGGATTCGTGAATCTCCTTCACAGATAGTGATGACGTATCATTCCCGGTGCCACACGGTCAGCCACTTGAGCAAAACTGCGGCGACGTCGTTCTTGCACTTACTGACCGAAGCCAAGCACCGCAGTGGAAAAGCCCAGACAGAGAGCCAGAAGCGGAGTTCTTGCACTATTAACCGCAACCACACCGCCAAGGAGACCCAACACGCCTGGCGGACAGTCACAAAGGGGGTGTTCTCGCACATACTCACTCACAACCAGGCGGTGACCGGCCAGAGCCGTGACCAGAAGTGGCACGCACGCACTTGCTAACCGCTGCCAAACACAGCCGAAGTGAAACACTTCCCCTTGCATGGCCAAATTGGTGCCAGCACAGCGTGCTCTTAACAGCAACTGCGCCGACGGCATTGTCGCACTTGCTAACCGAAGCTAACACCGCACGGAGTCAAGGCCGAATCACGCCAACAAAAACAAGCGGACTGCGAGCTGGAGTGAGGAGACCACAAGCCTGCTCTTCCTGGATGAGCTGCAGGTTTTTAGTTTTGTTTGCATGATCCAGTCACATCTACACGGCGCCGACTTGAATGATCTCGCGGAGCAAGTGCGAAACAAAGCCTGATTTGGCTTGCCAGGTCGTCGACTGGTATTTTGGAGCCACGGCATCAACGCTACTCAGTAGTGGTCACTTACGGCAGCAGCAGGAACATGTCGCGCTGTGCATTGCTGGGACGCACAAACTCAAGCATTCCACAATGAGATTAAAATAATTGTGGCGTAGTGTAGTATTGCGGTGAGCAAGGCCGGGTAGTTGTGAATTGCACTGTAAACTTGGCGGCTTCCGTGGCAATGCTGCTTGTCACTATCAAACAGGATCTTGATTAGCGCAGAATGGTAAGAAAGACTGTGTTGCTGTGGTGGAGGTGCAGGCCGAAATCCGATCACGGGCCAGATCCAGGAGAGCTTTGCTTGGAAGTGCCGACTGTGCCTCGCGGGGATGTTCGCACAGGATGAGAATAGGACGCCACGGCGACCAACGGAGCACACGCAGAAAGCGAGGCCTAGTTGCCAGCCCATGTCTTTGCGTCCGTGTCGGCCTAACCGATGGTGTCCATCGCAGGGAGAAGGCGGGCAAAGGTGTCAAGACCTTGACCAATCACCAGGACCTTGAAGCCGAGGCCGTGCGTGCTAGATTTGTTCGGCAAGTGTTGCTGTGCTCTGCAGATTGGCACTTTTTGCTTGTGAGCAGTCATGAAACATCTTGGATTTGCCTTGGGTGATGCCAGGCTCGTCAAACGCGTGAAAGCCGCCTCAATGTCTCCTTCCTTGTTTGGTACTGCGCCTTTGGTGTCCCAGACTCCCTGCGTAGCTTCGTGTCCTCGTGGCATCTCGCGGTCGCGGCCAGACCGACGCGTCCTTTGCCAACCTCTGCAAAGCTGGAGCCGAACTTGGAGCTCAGCGATTGGCAGAGGCCGTCCCGGCTGTTCTGCAGGATGTTGCAGGGATGCCTGCTGGTTTTCTGAGTTCGTCTCCTGAGGTGTCTAAGATCAAGGCCACACAGTTTAGAGGCCTTTCCGTCAATGTTGCAAACGCACTCAAGTTCGAAACTCAGTCTGACTTCAGTATGTATGTTGGCAATGGTGCGTCATGCCGGTTCGGCTCTGAAGACAACGTGCAGCACCAAGGTGGGATGATTGATGCAGACATGGCTGCAGTTCCCCGACGTGTTCTGCGCAGCGAAGCTGCCTGCAGATCCTTCGGCTTTAGTATGACCAAGGCTGAAGCAACATGTGCAATGTACATCCCTGAGGATCAGCCTTCGTCAGAGTCTGACAAGGAAAGTGCGAGCCGTAATCCATGCCATTCTTCGACTTCGGGCATCTTCGAGCATGATCTTTCAAGGAGTATTGGTTATCCCGTCAGTTTCGAAACCCTGGTGCGGCAATCAGAAAAGAAAGATCTTGCTGACATTGCTCCGTGATGGCCAAGCAGTGACTCGATTCAAAAGGGCGTGCCTTGACGCCCTCCAATCTTGTCGTTGCTTGGCTACCATGAAGCCTCGGCCAGTGCTTTGATCCAGATTCACAGTTCAATTCCAGATGGCTTCGTGGCTACTTGCTGCAAGTGCTTCGGGCAAGCTCCTGCGAGCCTGACTAGGCAAACAAGTCGTAGGAGCACCTCGAAGTGCTTTTCCGTCACGATACCGGGCTGAGAACCAGGTGATTGCGTGAAACTCGCGTCACTTAGGCTGTTAAGGCTGTGTGCTCTGAAAAAGATGAGGCCGTAGTCAAAAGCGCAACATCAGTTTGTTGCATGCGCCCACCCTTACATTCCCTAGTTCCGCCCACCTCGTTTGCCGTCAGGCCTCTGCGGCGGTACTCGTTGTCTTTCATTGTTTGGGGATCTACGCCGGCATAACCTGTTTGTTTACGCACACCGAAAAGCGAGAACATGCGATTTTCCTTACGTGCAAACTCTGAGTGGTCAATTTTGCAAGTGCGATGATTGGGTTCTTGCCGAAGTTGATTGAATTGTGCTGTCTTCTTCCTTCCTTACAAGCTCAGCTTACTTGTGGGTTCACAGCAGTCTAGAGTCGGGGGGGTGACTGACCGAGTCCGCCCTGTCTTGATGGAAGGTGCGGAGAGTATGCGCTCGGTTTCAGTTTGCTTGCAAGAGCTGGACAGGCTCTTCGTCATCATCGGCCTCTAGGTCGGCAGCTTCAACAGCATACCTATGGATTTTGATTCTGGCTTGTATGTGCTGGTGCTACCTGACATGCAGCCTTAGGCCAATCGGTCCGACATAGTAAGGCAGGTCACAAGTCATGATCTGGGCTTTTGTGCAGGCCGTCAGCGGGCACCACCCCAATGCCAAGTCCGGGCCTTTCTCGAGATTTACCAGTCTAGTTGCTAGCCGTCCGAGAACACGTCCTCAGGTGGGTCGCGAACACGAACGAATCCAATCTTGTCGGAGCAGCAGGTCGATCTCCTGAAGCAGGAGATCAAAAAAGACACCCGCTTCAAGCGTTTCGACTTGCATCCCCTTGGTCATTGGAGGATCCTTGGCTCAACGAGGCCAGTTTGCAGAGGTTGTGTGATGTCAGTTGTCAGTTCAGAAAGCTCCCTCAACGAGTTGACTGTGACGACTAGCCGTGAAAGCGGTTTCAGTCATCGCTGGGACTTCGGCAGGACCCAGTGGGCAGTGTTATTGAGTCGAAGGCTGTCCATCCGGATGACATGATTTTATGCCATGCCCCCGGCCTGGAAGTAAACACAGGATGTAGCTCGTAGCATTGGCCGAGGCCACTTATTTTGCGCGTGCTTCGATCGAAAGCTCAGCCCTCGGAATCGGTGTGACAGTGGCCGCGTTGATATTGATCCGAGCCTTGCCGTCATGATGCTTTGTCTTCTGGCTTCAATCAGCTTCAAAGCGTCGAAGGTATGAGATTCGAACATTTCGAACAGTAGACAGCACGTGTTTGCAAAGGTATTATTGTGTAGCGGCAGCGCCAATGCAATGCTTGAAATCGTCCTTCGCACATGTCCAGCATCCTGACTTGCTTGAAGGCTTGAAGCAGGATCTAGCCTGCAGCAAAAATCTTTCATTAAGCAGCCGGTCTTGAGGAAATGTGGAGGATTGTATAGAGCTGGGCAAAGCCCCGGCTTTTAAATGCAGGCCGCCAGCGAAGGCCCCGCTCCAGATGTTCTCGTCCGCAGCTTCTGGCCATGTCTTGTCTGCAGGTGATGAGCTGAGTTCTGCGTCTGCACCTTACACGGACCAAGAAGTGACACCGACCAATCCCAGTCCAGTTTCTATCAGCTTAAGACGTGTCCAGGTCTTCGAGCCCCTTGTTGCGTAACAAGTCCGGGACTTGGACGGAGGAGGCTTTCGTGGCTTTTTCTTGGCCGGACTATGAACGCAGCTGCAAGGTCTGGAAGCCTCAATGTTTGGAAAATACCCAGCATTAGGCAGAAGCTGAAGGCCCCGTGCATGCCTTTGAATAGAGCTGAACACAAGATATCGTTTCGCTGTCAGGATCACTTGATCACTGCACAGGAAGCGTTGCTGCAACAGAGCGAGGAGCGCGATGCATGTACTTACGATGTACTTGAGGGCCGAATGGGTGAGCCTCTGTCGCATTGTCATTGTGCATCCTCTGGGGTTCATCGTAACTTCGCAGTCTGCAGGAACGGCACGAGATTTACAGTGCTGGCAATGCAGGCAAAAGAAAAGACAGCAAGGCCGCGGTGCCTTGCAGTCGCTAGATTCGCTGGAAGTACATGATGCGAAACGACGGTGGCGAGCGACCTGCGCACCAATTTGGGCCAGGCACCCACCATGCTGCCGCCGCCACGACAAAGTCCGGAGGCGAATACAAGGCGCATTGAGAGAGAAGCAGGGAGAGCTCTCTAAACGAAATGCTGTTGCATGTGCATACTGCATGTGAGCACCGAAGTCGACCGCAGTCATAACATTTCAGACAAAATTACATGCGGCGAAGGCGTCCAACACCGGATATCTGGAGGGCTGCTGAACAAGCCAAAACCAAAAGGGGTCATCTCTTGTACACTGTTGCAAGTTTAGTCAGTGATTGTGCGAAGAAACGCGATGGGGCCTCAGGCCCAGGAATCAAGATTGCGGCAAGCCTCGGCAGAACAAAAGAAAGACACAAAGCAAGAAGGAAAGAAGGAAGGGAGTGGGGAGAGAAGGGGATGGCTTTGATCACGGCAGGCCTGACTCTCAGTTTACTCCTACGCCATACGTCAGCTCTTCTTTCGCAGGAGGGACATGTCACGTCGGGCATCGTCAGTTCTTCAGGTGCAGGACTGTCGATAGCGGTTCCTTGCACTTGTGGAAGCTATTCGGGAATGGTTGTCGTGCATCAAGAGGACTTGGCGGCAGAGAAGCGAGATGCAGGGAGCTTTTGAGTTGGTCCGTCATGGGGCACGATCCGGCACATCCATTCTTCTGCATAAGCACACAAGCATGGGAGTGCAGTGCCAACGGCTGCGTCGCGAAAGTTTCCAAGGCCTTGGAGCCTCTTTGGCCGAAGCCATCTGGGCAATCTTCAGGTGCCTTGCGCTGTCGCAGCGAATGCAGTCTTTCCGTAGTTCCCATTCGGAATCCCGAGACTCACATGCGACACCAGAGTATGCCCTAGGAACCTTGAGGTTCTGTGTTTACGCCTAGGGCCTGTGGTCGCCCTGTGCCACAGGTGGCAAAGAGCAGTCTTACGAAGACCTGTCCTGCTCTGCCCGTATGCCGGAACCTGAATTGTTCAGCAAGCTGACTGGATCTTAAAATGCTGTGCGGGTCGTTTCGGGAAGCGCGCAGGTGACAACAGGGATTCCGAACAGCTGTGTAGCTACGAAGCTACCCATCGTTGACTGCCACGGAAAGGTCTCAAGGGGAAGCGTCTCCGGAAACAGGCCACGTCGAAGCACTGCATCCCTCAGAATCCTTCAGCACTGACTTTGATGCTTGAAGGCACGAGCAGCAGGCTGGTGAAAGTCTGAGATCTTTCTGAAATCACGGCTCGTGGCAGTTCAGCCGTTTGAGCTGCGCTTCCAGTTTACATCCAAGGTTCGTGCCAACACCTTGGACAACCTCACACCGTCAGAGACTTCACAAACGTTTTCAGTGTATGAGTAGATGAAAGGAGAGTTGCATTGCCAAAGGTTGCATCTTCAAATGAACCGCATGTTCGATCTTTGCATGCTCAGGACGGTGGCGAGGAACATGAGGAATGCAGGGACCCTAAAGCACATGCAGTTCATGTGTTGTCATGATCGAAGGGGCCAGTCGTCACTGGGTATCTCCAAGTCGTGCTCCCACATTGCTCGCAGTACCCCGCACGGTCTTTCCGCTTCCCCTCTTTTCTCTGCCCACCAGTAGCGACAAGACAGCGCAATCCGATGTGTGACGTGAACGGGTCGGACACTCTCTCCCGCACGAGCTATGCAGGTATTTTCCGATTTCCGGAAGGTGCGGTTGGGACAGGTGTGTTTTCAGCTCACAGGGTGTGCTGTGTGTCTCCTTCAGCAGTGCTCTGCTGATGCACCACGGACAGGCGTATGCCTACATGGGCATCGACTGGTACACTGTTACAGACTTGGAGTATGTGGTGCCGCATCATTCTTGGAAAATCGCTCTGCAGTGTCAGGTGCAGAAGAAAAAGCAGAAGGTTTCGCTTCTCTTCTTCGTCGAGGAGTTGTACTACTGGCGTCCTGGCCGAAGAAAGCGTGAGCTGGCAACGCAGAAAAAGTGTTCATAATCAGAGTGTCTGCTTGCTTTGGGCTTGTGGAAAACACAACCAAAGATTTTTCATGACCCGTTCTTGCCGCCGTGCTATGGGGGAAGCATCTTCGGAGTTGTGAAAACTGTTACTTCAAGGAGCCTCTGCTGCGGTGTAGGCCAGGCACTGGCTGTGCTGTGTTCGATCTGTGTTATTCGGTTTTATGGTTGCGCCATGGGGGAACTGAACAACCACGCGTACGTCATTGTTGCTCGGAAAGTAGCAAAAGAGTGCTAATCCCCAAGTAGAGGCCGTTTTCGAGGTACCAGGTTGTCTTGCTGAAGCCGCTGTGCCATGGGGGAACGGAGTTTGGGCTGAGTTTTTTTACTTTGGGCTGGGCGGTGTGCCATGGGGTGGGCTGAGATCAGGTGTTGTGGGCTGAGTATGTGCAAGCAATCAGCTTTGTTCCAGTATATTGCAAGCACATAGACAGTCGTCAAGCTCTCCTGTAATTATGGGAGACATATTCCTGTTTACCTCAGATGCGATTTTCGATGCAAGTGTGTTGCAAAATTTGTTTTGTTCAAAGTTCCACGGAATGTCTATCAAAGCGACCGCTGGTGTTGTTTGGCTTTCCCATCGGTTAGACAGACTCGGACTACGGTATGTTTCGAACCAGCGGGTTGGCGCGATAAGGAAAACTGAGAAGGTTGGAACTGCGTCGAGTGTATCCTCAGGTCATCTGC